TTAGAAACATTAGAAGAGGTAAAAACTCCTGAGCTAAGTGCTGAGCTTCCTTTGTCCACCTGATGAGGACAACCATCTTGATCTAGAAAAGTGACTCTGCATTAAGTACTTGGGTCTTGCATTCATAAATATGGTTCAGTAGAGATTCTTCATGGAGTGATCTTGAGAAATCATGAATTAAATTTTATTTTATAATGTGTAGTGGGTTCACCCTGGCTGTGTGCTCTGAACCCAGCAAAGCTCCTCTGTCTCTTCTCTTCCCAGCTGGGTGGGGCAGAGAAAATGTAATGAAGGTTTCATGGGTTGAGGTAAGGAACAGGAAAGATCACTCACAAATACCATCATGGGGAAAACAGACTTGATTTGGGGGTATTACTGAATTTATTATTAATAAAATCAGAGCAGGATAATGAGAAGTAAAAACAAATTTTAAAAACATCTTCCCCTACCTCTCCCTGCTTCTCCTCTCTACCTCCTCCTTCCTAGCAGTACAGGGAGATTGGGAATGGAGGTTACACTTAGTTCATCACATGTTGTTCCTGCCACTGCTCAGGGAGAAGTCTCCCTCGCTCCAGTGTGAGTCCCTCCCACCACAGGCGACAGTTCTCCGTGAACTTCTCCAGCATGAGTCCATCCCATGGGCAGCAGTTCTTCACAAAATGTTGCTGTGTGGATCACTCTTCCACGAGGCGCAGTCCTTCCGGCCCAGCCTGCTCCAGCATGGGTCTCCCACAGGGTCACAAGTCCTACCAGGAAACCTGCTCCCGCATGGACACCTCTCTCCACGGGTCTGCAGGTCCCTGCCAGGAGCCTGCTCCAACAGGGCTTCCCATGGGGTCACACAGCCTCCTCTAGGCATCCACCTGTTCCAGTGTGGGCTCCTCCACGGGCTCCAGGTGGATCTCTGCATCCCTGTGGCTCTCCATGGGCTGCAGGGGCACAGCTGCCTCACCACAGTCTGCACCAAGGGCTGCAGGGGAATCTCAGCTCAATGCCTGGAGCCCCTCCTGCCCCTCCTTGTGCCCTGACCTTGTGTGTGCAGGGCTGTTCCTCCCACGTGTTCTCACTACACTACCCTTTGGCCATAGTTACATCTGCCCAATAACTGTTTTTTCCTTCTTAAATATGTTATGCCAGAGGCATTATTGTCATTCCTGACCAGGAAACCTGCTCCCGCATGGACACCTCTCTCCACGGGTCTGCAGGTCCCTGCAGGAGCCTGCTCCAACATGGGCTTCCCATGGGGTCACACAGCCTCCTCTAGGCATCCACCTGTTCCAGTGTGGGCTCCTCCACGGGCTCCAGGTGGATCTCTGCATCCCTGTGGATCTCCATGGGCTGCAGGGGCACAGCTGCCTCACCACAGTCTGCACCAAGGGCTGCAGGGGAATCTCAGCTCAATGCCTGGAGCCCCTCCTGCCCCTCCTTGTGCCCTGACCTTGTGTGTGCAGGGCTGTTCCTCCCACGTGTTCTCACTACACTACCCTTTGGCCATAGTTACATCTGCCCAATGACTGTTTTTTCCTTCTTAAATATGTTATGCCAGAGGCATTATTGTCATTCCTGATTGACCCAGCCTTGGCCAGCAGCATGTCCATTTTGGAGCCAGCTGGCGTTGGCTCTGTCAGACATGGGAGGAGCTTCTGGAAGCTTCTCACAGAAGCCACCCCTGTAGCCCCCATGCTATCAAAACCTGTCCGTGCAAACCCAACGCATAACTGTGTTTTGTTAACCAAAGATTGCCCAGGCCTTCAAGGTTTGAACTGTTTTGCTGGGTTGGCTCTGTACTTGTATGGTACATGTGTTAACTATCTCTTGGGAATTTAAAAGTGAGAGTTTCACAGTCAAAAATGGAAATGCCATAAAATACTGTATACCTCTGGTTTCCAGAATAGCTAATATATCTGGGGTTTAGGCTGTTTTACTCTGTAGCACAAAAAATGCTTTTTGTTATGCCTTTTCTTACCCTCCACCCCATTTTTGGCATTTTAAAATGCTAGAGCTTTTTTTCCCTGGCATTCTTTTAGTGAGTCATAGGGTGTAGTATGATTTTGATTGCAAAATTAATAGTAATCTACTTCAGAACAGCTTTACAATGAGAACTTGTAAAAGGAAAAATCATTAATCATTCAGCATTTTGTAGCATAGTTTTAACGGAAAAGTAAAATGCTTTGGGAACATTGCTTTTTCTTGGATACCAAACAAAACCGCAGGAGATAACCAGTATTGGATAAAAGCTTTTCCTACATTGACTGCAAGACATTAATTCTTGGAGTTTTTTAGTTTTTTTGGGGTTTTTTTTGCAAGTATTTTTGATATTTTGTAAGCTGAACCTGTGCAACAAAAGAATTTAAAGAAGCTCTCTTTAAATCTCATAACAAGTTGTTAAGAATGCGTTCATTTATTTATACTAAACAGCCAATCTTACTTATTCTCTTTCTTTGAGCATATATGCTGGTCTGTAGTATGACCATCCTAAAATAAGTTTTCCCTCTTTTTTAACAAGGTAGAAGCTCTGTTTTAATACTGTATTTTTACAGTATTAAATATATTTAAATCTTTTTATCACTTTTATTGAAGACTGAAGTTTTAAGAAAATTAAACTAATGCAGGTTCCTTCCATAATTTAATGGTCAGTTGCTCCAAATATAAAATTAGAACCCATAAATTCTGAGCACTCGATCTGTCACAGCACAAGTTCTGGGACAATGGTTCCTGTTATAGAGTTCTGGCCAGAGCACTGTAATTTCCATGGTTTCACTTCTCTTCTTCTAAATCTTTTGAAACTGGAGACATTTTTCTTGTGTGCCTTAACTTTCTTTTTTTTCTTTCTGGGAAGATGCATGGTGGTGGTACTGAATGAGCATACTATTCTAACTAATGAAGTAGACACTGAATAACTGGATTTAAACAGAGTTTTATGTCCTTTATATGCTTTTTGTTTCAAATGCAAATTAGATAAAAGCTTTCTTCCTCAGAGTTAAATATGTTACTGAAATGTAGCATTTAATAATAAAATGGTAGACTTTTATATCTCTTGATCACCAGTACTTCTGCTCTGTCGGTGAGTAGGGAAGGAAGTACAAAAATTAAAGAAGGTAAAAGAAATAAGAAGAAAGCAAAAGAGAGTGCTGAAGTAATTGTATTCTTCAGGGTTTGTATCTGTACAAGCCATTATGTGATATTAGAATATGGGTACAGAGGCAGGGCTTCAAAGACCTAACAAACTTGTTCTACCATGGAGGGACAGTCATTCCATTTTCTGTTTCATACAGCCACCTGTTCTGGGTGACAGCCATGTGTTTCACTTGAATACCTCAGAATTCAGATATCCCAAGGCAGACTAGACCATCCTGCTCTGGACATTTAGTGCATTTAGGGGTTTGGTTTTGTTTTTAGTAAAGACCAGATGATGTAAGAGGAAATGTTATGACCAGATAAAATGAAATGTGGTTCTCTGTGGCTTGTCAATGCTGTTGACGTCTGTTGTAGAAGTGATTTGACATGCTGTATGGAATAGAATTGTAAATACACTATTCTGCCTTGTCACAGAGTGCTTGCTGATGGAGCTGTGAGTAGGTGCACAATGAATCATATCCTAAAATAAAAGTCCCAATGCACAAAATAGCACACCTATTAAAGAATGCTTTGCTCCACCCTCCTGTCCAGAATATTAGAGAGTTTTATATTAATCAAAGTATATGTTTCTATATGCTTTGGTAAGTATGCCAAAGGAAAAAACAATTCTAGTTTCATTCCTGACAAAAAGCTAACAATTAACTTCCTCAAGCTAGCAGTATTTGCACTTCATGCTTAGAAGAATGTGTGTATTATACCAACAATGCAGTGGGACAAAACCATTACAAATCTGCTCGGACATATAGTGTTTGGTGGGGTTTTTCTTCCATGATATTTAGGCAACACTTTCTGCTTTTAAGATAGTGATACAGCAAGGTCACTCCGTTGTGTCTTCCAGTCTGCATAAGCTGCAGACTCCAAATTAATCTTTTCAGCTGGACTCTTTGGAAGGTTCTACAAACATGAGCTTTCTTGTTTGCTCTTAAAAGATAAATTTATCCCAACTTACCTATATTCCAGGGCAGCTGTCAGGCTCATCTTTGCACAGAGTGAGTGGTGAGCACAGAGTAAAATGCAGCTTTTCACTTGTTGCTTCACTACTTAATTTCTTTAAAGGTTTGTTCAGAATTATTCTCACAGAAATAAAATCTTTCTTAATCAGAGTGTGTGTGAAGATGCAATCCAAGTAGAAGATACCATTTAACACATCCTTCCCCCAAAAAAAACCTTAACTAGCCCTCTGTGACAGTTTGAAACAGTTCTGTATAAATTAATTTTGTGTCTATGCGAATTTGAAAAGAGAGTGAGTAGAGCTGGTGAACAATAAGTGAAAAAGATTCTTCTTCTGGACCCACTGAGTGTACTGGGGAGGAAAGGTGACAGAATGCATCAAAAAGTGGGATAGAAAAAAGCAGTGTGGCAGCAAGGAACAGAAACCTAACAGCTGAAGCAGCAATTGAAACACTGTTAGGGTGACCAGGCAATAGACCCACAGCCAGCTGTTTGTGCTCACCGATGAAAAACGTTCCTAGAAACCAGACCTGCCGTGCACTGACACACAGGGCGGTTGGATACTTGCAAGTTCTTTAATTTTCGTATTGTCTTGCATACTACTTTTCAGATTTTTTCTATTTTAGTTTACTGTTGTTCATTCTCTAACGAAACATAGATATTCCAAGTTTCAAAGCTGTTTTGAACCTCTTTATAGATATCATGTAATGGAATGGTCTAAGCAGATCTCCCTTAAAGCCTTATATTTTTGGGTCGTATGTTTATATTTTAAAAGGTTCCTATTGGAGTATTTTCCACTTTGTTAATCTTTAAAACAATTGCATTTTTGTAGATTAAATTGGTGTAAGAAGTGTTTCTCTCCTTTTATGTGGAAAAGATATAAAACTCATTTGGCTCACTATTTTGCTTAGGTTTAGAAGATTACATCCCATTTTAAATATTCACCATAGCCCTGTCCTTAGGAGGAGGCAGAGTCTCAATCTATCAGTAAGTGAACTGCTGTTTTATCCCTTTAAAAATTTAAAAAGCACATTAAACATAGCCAATTCAAAATGCTTTGGATGGAAACACTAGAAAAATTCTTCCCAACACTTCTTGCTTGGAATCACAGTGGAGTCTCTAACGTAGGGGGAAGTCAGGAGAACAGGAAGACATCATTTTTGAAAAGGTGCTTTTTCTGTGGCATCAGTATTCAAGTTCATGAGTAAGTAAAATGCCCAAGAACAGAGGATACTTGGACATTTCCCCTCTATTATTGGTAGTCCAGAGATGTCTGGTAAATAATTACTTTTTAATATTTTCTGACCATTATTACAGTTATCCCCCGTTTTAGTTGTTCTAGAATTTGGTTAATTTTTGGTTTTCCATTCATACTTTTTTCCCCAAGGTTTCTTCCATTTTGTCTTTAAATTTGCTTTTGCTATACTACTTGGTCTTTCTGAACCTTTACCAAGGTAAAAAGTATCTTGTAATATTTCATATGTCAAAACTCCTGTTTCATAGAATCTTTTGGGTTGGAAAAGATCTCTGCTATCATCTGGAGTTACACATCTGTACAACCTAATTTTAGTTACTTTTAGTGTTTTCCACATAATCACAGTATTTCAGATAAATTCCATTTCCTATACAGGCTAGAATATTCTTGTTTCCTGAATACCCTTTGCTTACCAAATCCTTATCACCACTTAAATACCCTTTGCTTTCCACTGCTTATCACAGTCTTTAAACATCTCACAGACTTGAAAAATATCTGACAGGACCAAATGTCTTCTATGTCCTTTCTAGCTGGATGAATTACTTAAACTGATACCTGATAGTGTCTTCTCCACCACTGTGTTGTTTTGTACTCTGAGAAATAAAGAGATGTTCTTGAAATCTATAGGCATACATCAAACGTTTGTTGAAAAAGAGGGGGAGAAAATGCAGAATCGGTTAAAGTAGCAGAATATTGAAACCATAGTTTCTCTTGGGTTTTTTTTTCCTGAGATGAGTTTGCAAGTGCTTCTGTTTAGTCAGGTGCTGGTATGGGTGGACTCTGACAATGTGGAGGCTAAATATGTCTGCTTAGTTACCTTTCCAGGACTAAGTCAGCTTTCAAAATCCAATCTGAAAGGAGGTTTTCAGTTTTGGGGTGAGGAATGGGATATCAGCATTCTCGGACTTGGCAGAAAATTGGGGGGAGAGGGAGAAAGATTTAGATTTTGTACAAGTGCAATGTAACCCCATAACTGAATTAGTTGCTCATTGTATTAATGCACTCCAATCTTATAGTTGCAAAAAAATATTTTTTATTATTTTGCACATAGATTTTTGACTAATGTTTATTCTGCATTTACTGATAACTCTGCTGTCATGAACATTTGCAGTCCAAACAGCTCTTGGGTGTGCAGTGTTTCATCTGTTTGTGTCACAGTTTTTAGTTGAGTGAATTTTGACCTATCACTTGTAAGATGTTGTCAGCTGAAGTAGTGAGGAGGGCAGTTCATGAATATATCTTATTTTTTCTCCATACTCAAGCAAAATTTTTCTTTTTCTTTCCCTTCTGTGCATTTAAATAGGAGGACAGCTGCCTTCAGATGGTGCAGAACTCACTGACAGTTGTTGCTTCAGTCCTACTTCATGAGAACTTCAGAAGTTACTAACTGAGGTATTTATTTGTTCTTTTCATTTTTTCAAGTTTTAACTTTGCAGAAATTAGTTATGTGGAAGAGCAGGACAAAGGAGACATCTAGACTAGTGAAGAGAAATCATATATGGAAAATAGCACAAAGTTCTGTCATAAAGAGAGCTACTGGGCAAAAGGATCTAATCTTTCAATAGCTAGGCACTGTGTTAGTCAATCTTTTTTATATGTTTAGAAATCAAATAATTACTGATACGTCAAAAGAACATGTTAAAAATGCAGTTAAAAACATTGGAGTTTTGAGGGTCATGTACCCAGTTTTATCTGGTCCTCTGATTTTCTCCAAGAATGGGCAAAAATTTTGCAGAAAATCTCTAGACATGAATACCCAATTACCTAAATAATGACTAAATAATGAACCTTTCAAAACTCTCCCATCATTTATAGGTTTCTTCCTCTAATACTTAAAAGGAATTTCAATTAAAGAAAAGCTTTGGTATTAACACAACATACAAATGCTTTCCTCACACTTTCTTTCATACAACCCTGAGATTAAATACAAAATCTGTTTTAAAAATATTGATAAATATTTTTATTGGAAATATTTGTCATTTTTTGGCAGATATCAGTGAATTAATTTCTTTGCAGAGAAAAGAACACCATTTGTGTTTGTAGACAGAGTCTGATAAAGGATTTATGGCCTCAGAACTCATGGAGGGAAAAAAGTTTCTTGTAAGCCTGTGATCAGCTGGATTCGTGTCAGTCCTAAATTTATGATCTGCAGCTGTTAAATGCGTGATAGGAGCTTTGTCTTCTAAAGCGTGATGACAGAGTGAGCACGAAGCTGAGAAGAAGGAAACATAGTGCTTTGAGAAATGAAACTGTCCGAACGTGGGTGGTGATTGCAATGCTTCACGTAGCACAAACCTTTTATTCTGTAAATCTTACATATATATATTTTAATGCTTTTTAAATTGTGGAAAGCTACCAGCACACATTCTAACGTATCTGAGGGTGAACAAGAAGTCTGCTGGTCAATATTTGTGTAGGCAGAGTAATGTAAGCAGTGCCAGACAGGAATTCTTTTTCTGCATTTGAGAGCTCAAAGCTTTAATGATACTGAAAAATAAAGAAGAATATCTTATAACTTCTATAATGTCTGAAATCTGAAAATATGTGCTATATATGTAATATACGCAACTTTTTTTTAATACAGCTCCTGGTATGTACATGTGTCTATGCATATATATGCATCTGTGTAGATACCAAGATAGTCTTAACTTCTTGGAAAGATTGGTAATTGTTAGTATGGTTCTTGTATAAAATTTATATGTGCTATTCTAGGTATATTACAATATCTGTATTTCCTTTTTTAAAGAGACTTTTTATATGCCGCCAGTATATATTATGGCTAAAATAATGTTAGCATTAAAATGAAAAGTTTTCAGAAAATGAACTCTTAAAATTCAGTCAGGATGTTACATATAGTTTCAGAAAAGAAAGCAGAAGTCTTTTTGTTTCTAATTTTGCATTGAATGCTGTTAACAGCCAGCTCTGATAATGGTTTTTACATATAGGTTCTATGGAGTGCTCACATTCTCAGATTTTAATAAAGAAGTTGGCGTTATGTGACAGGTTGAGTGATTTCAGTGCACATTATGGATTGGTTATGTCTTACCATAAGTTCATTTCTGGAGTCAGTACACAACTGTTTTAGCAGTAGAATTAACCGCTTATGTCACAGATTATAATTAGCTGTGTCTGTGTGCCAGAGCAACAGGATGGAATGCAAAACATAGCCAAACATGTGAACGAATTTTCTTCCAGTGATATTTGGCCAGACCTAAAATATCTTCCACTCCAGATCTGAAAGTAGTGGAAAAGTTAGACAATTCTCTCTTGGAAAGAGACCGGTTGTAGTTTTTTCACAAGTCCACATTGTTTCAAATCTCCAAGGTAAGTAAAAACTTGTTTTTATATCTGTATTAAAACATTAGCATGTTAACAAATTAGTTCTTTTTGTTTGTTCTTTACTTGTTACATGGTTGTATTGAGCTTCTCCCCTGTCTAAGTTTCTGTGTAACATTTCAGACTGATTTTGTCCTTATTTAAGGATCATTTTGATGCTTATGTGATTTATTTTAGGGCCTAAATTATGTGTGCATTTTTAACTACAATTATCATTTTTGATTCAGATGTTTATTTATGCAATTAAATGTAGTATTAAGTTACATAGTTTAAACCTGCACTTCTGTAATATTAAGAAGCTAAATTAGAAATTTTAAGTTTAGTAACTTCTAAATCTTTTACAGTATCATGTTACTGTACTTACATAAATATCTGATTTGCAGTAGTAAACCTCTGATGCTTGTAGCTGTAGATTTCTGACAGTTTATTTATCACATACCAAAAGTTTAAATTTAGTCAAGAATGGATCCATGGTTCTGCTGAACACTTCTTTTTGGCTTGATTGTGTGATAAAAACCTCCCACCTGAGGAATTGTTACCAAAATTCTTTCTAACTTGTATGAAGCATACTTGAATTAATATAGGACATAAAATTATGTGTGTACCGAACTCGTTTTGCAAGTTTGTAGTGTCTTTGAACTCAGTACATTTTCTTGTGGATTATATTTCTCCCTGAAAGAAAATTACCAGCTAGTTATCAGTAGATTACTGACTCATTATCAAATGATTTATTGGATGATACTTGGTGTCTTGCCACCAACAGGTGCTTGCGCTGCATACTTAATCATGAATCTGATTCCTAAAACAGGATATTGCCAAAGTGTAGGAATGTGATTTTAGTGCATCAACACCAGTCAGCTAGGCTCCTTTTACCGAGATATGGGTGTTTTTACTGTATCTGTCTAAAATCTCCTCCTACTTGAGGAGGATGTGAATCATGTCCTAGAAGTGTCTGTCTATCTCCATTTTCTGTGGAGGGGGCCTGGGTAATTGTGGCTGATCTTGTCTGTGTTTGGAGAGATGAATTTTGGTCTGCACAGCCACTTCCAAATGAGTAGTCCATTTGAGTGAACTATAGGAACTTTGTACCATAAAGTTCTGGAAGTTTGCCATGATTTAAGATTTTGGAAATTTTGTTTGTGATAGTCACAAATTATGCCACTTTGGCTGAAATGGATTTCTGTTTATCTTCTAAACAAATGTTCTATTGCATACACCCCTCCTTTCTACTATGTAATGAAGAAAAAATGCTCCTAGAATACCACCAAAGGATAAGAACAACTGCATGGGGTTAAATTAAAAATAAGAGAGTCTAAATTAAACCCAGCATTAGGAAGAACCAGTTAAAATCTCTTTTCCAAACCTTCATGTTTTGCTAACAGCCTGCAGCTCTTTCCTGGTTGAAAACTCAGTGGTTTAAAGCATTTTATATTTTGAATTTTATTCATAATCATAAGGCAGATAAAGTTATGTGTACAAAGATCTTCTTGCTTGAATAGCCTCATGAGATTTTTTTCCTTCCTGTGGAAAGTAATGCCTTGTACATGAAATACAAATCCAAGGTCCTAACCTCTTACTGTTTTTAATTATTTTCATGACTTGGAATTAAGTAAGCTGGATTTCCTGTGGACTTATTTCTCAGAGTTGATTGTCTTACATGTTTAACGAGCAGTGACTGAAGGTGTTTTATAACAGAGACATTTACAAGGTCTTTTTCTCACATCAGTTTTCTGATATTTTATAAGGTCTTCATGCCCATTGCAGTCCCTCAGTAAAGACATAAACGAGGGTTCTTATTTTCTCTGTTATCTCATTTTCAGAAAGTTTGCAGGAATGTAGTATTTGAGGCATCTGCTTGTCTGTTGAATTTTGTTGAAATTGGCCAAGAAACTCAAAGGCTATTGAAGGAGGTAGGGAAAATGAATGGGAGACAGATGGTTTAGACATTGACATAGGGTTTGGTTGCTTTTTTATTTATTAAACCAGGCTAAAAGCATCATGGCAGTTTGGATAACAGGTTAATTCAATATCCTGGTCAAATTTTCAGCTTGGGTAATAGTATTCTCACTATTTAATTCATCTTAGCTTTGGCTACCTGGGCCAGTCTTCTCATTAAACCTTTCTGTATATCTGCCAAAAGCTGTTAAACAGCTGCTGCATTTCATGCCATGGTTGGTTATGTTTCTGTGGTGGATGAAGTCTGTATAAGACTGTGAACAGAAATATCAGCTAAAATACATAATTTTTTTTTTTTTAATGGAGTGTGGCATGTACTGAAGTGTTGGATAATGCTGGTGGCAGCCATAAAACACATGCTTTTCCATAAGGTGTATGTTTGTGGATACGTGTATTCTGAAGGTTGCCTGTAAGAATCAGGTATATATGCATTTAAAATAAAGGGCTGTAGGAATGGAATCATCTTGTAGTATGACTGTTAAAACTCTTCAGTTCCTCCCGTTTATTTGCTGTGCTGTCAGTGCTCTGAGGAACAAGAATTTTAGTACCTTTGCTTCACCTTACCTTTTCCCAGTATTCCAAGTGCCAGATACTAAATTTTACACAGACTTTTTGCGTCCTTGCCTTATTAGTTGTGGATACTAGTGGCTTTCAGAAAAGGCTGACTGCGTAGAGTACAACAGCCTGTTTCATGTTAAAGTTTCATGTAGGTCCTACCTTGAATTTCCAAGCTGTTAGACCTTCCTGTGACAAGCATGCAGGCTCTTGATGGAAGTAGACATGTCTGTGAAGTTCCACTGCACCCAATTTCCTCAGTTTTGAGGAAAAGGATTTTGAGTGAGAGGCAGTAATAATTAAATAAAATCCATATTCTTGTGCTGAAAGCAGAATAAAATGGAAGACTTTTTTTAAAAATAAGTGCTCTGAAATGAAGCTGAGTCAGTAGAGCAAAGCTGTGGTAATGAACCCTAACCACAGATCAGGCTACATTAGCAACGCTTTAGATATCAAGCTCCTTCCAAAGGCCTCTTTCAGTCCAACTTTGAACTGAAATGGATAATCTCCAGAGGTCCATTGCAGCCCAGTTTTTTCTAGGATTCTCAGAATTTGTTCAGATTTTCATGACTATTCACTTTTTTGTTATTATTAATTACCTACTGGTTTTTATTTAGTCACCTGGCTAAATAAAACTGGCTGTCTTACTAGCTTGTCTAACTGGCAATGCTTCAGAGTTCATGGAAGAGGGCATCACAGTTTAATAAATATGTGAGATTGGTAGCTAGCAGTATTCTCAAGACATGTAAAGTTGCTGTCAATCAATGAGAATTAAATGTAATATTTGACTTTTACCTGGAAATACAAGGAAGGAAATAGGTGGATTCAGAACTTAAAGCCAAAAAACTAACAGTGAGTATTACTTTAATATAAGTACTCCCTATGAGCTGAAAAGCCACGGGAGCATATTTGTACGCCTGGCAGAAAAGGTTGTTATTGATTGCCTGAGTGAAAGTTTTCACAGTAGGGATAATAAAATGATAAGAGATTTCAGTATGTGAAGGAAGAAGAGTTTGATTTGAGTTTGGCATGAGTGCCAAACAAGAAAGTGAACATGGTGAACAATCCCAAAAGCCAGCACAGTTGAAGGTGAGAAGGCAGTGTCAGGTTGGTTCCCTCCACATTCACGTGGCAGTGTCCTGATACACATTGTGCCTTTGCAGTACACCCCAAGACTTCCAGCATATATTTTGGTGCTGCAAAAAGTCATATTTGAGGGCTGAAGTGGTCCATGTTTACCCAGAGGGTACCCAGAGCCAAGTTTTATGTAGTATGGATGGGTGTGGCATAGAATTTTATGGACCCTTTGTAGGGTGGGCAGCATGACCAAGAAAAGACCTGGTAGTCCTGTGCTGCCCATGCAACTTTTCAGGCTATTTTTCTAGTCTCAAATATTCAAACAGACCTGATGTAGCCTGTACACCAAAAAACTTACCTCAATTTCAGCCCTACTGTTTAGTATAAGAAAAGATTTTTTTTTTTCTAGCCTCAAAACTTTTCTTCCTTGCGATATTCTGCTTTTAGTGTCGTTCTGTTATGGTAGGAATTTCCCACTTAATGAGAATACTGTTGATGTCTGCTGAAAACTGTTATCTTGCTTAAACATGGAACTGCATTACAAAATAGTTTATTTCATTTTGAATGATTTCATGAGTCATTTGATAATTATGTTCAATGCATGTGTGAAGATAGTGCTTCCGAAAACAGAAGTGCAGTTCTTATATTGACAAAGTTGTATAAGACTATTAATATATTGTCATAACAGAGAAAAAAGCATTTCTAAGCTATATTTGATAAAACCACTGTATTTATTTGAGTACCTTCATTCTCTTTGAATTGAATATTTTGTTGAAATTCTGTTAGTAACAACTTTCACAATATGTGAGAGTACTTACTTTGTAAATATATATTATAATTTATTGATTTTGCTTTTAGTTAAACATATGTTGAACTGATAGTATTGTGATTCACACTTGGTGATTTATTTTAATTGATTTTAGTCACATTTATGGAAGAAAAAGCTGTGTCCCTTTAGTCACATTGAAAACATCTAAAATACTATTTAAATTGAGAACATTAATATGACTTTCTTCCTGTATCAGAAATCCTAAGGCACTTAATTACAAATGGCTTTAACTCAAGAAAAAATTGAAAGCTAGCATTCAAAAAAATTACATAGAAATAAGCTTTGATTTAGGATTGTTTGGCAAGAAAGTATATAAATGGCTAGAATGCAAAATAAGTAAAGGCAGCAGAAAGCAAAATTAATCTATATTCCTTTACATTATCAAAAGATTCCGCCTTTTGCTACCTTTTTCTTATTTTCTTTTTTTTAATTTTCTTCAGCATCCCTAGGTATTTCCTCATTCTCGCCATATTTTAGAGCCTCCACTTATACATCTCATGTTCATTTCCTGAGTGTACTCACTACTTAACCTTTTTCTTTTATCCTCAAGTGTCTACTCACATTGTTTATT